AAAATTGCATTTCTACTTTAAAGGAATGATTCATCAAACAAGGTTATATAAAGATAAGGAGATTTCCATGACCTTAATGAAATCTTTAAGACATGACTTAACAGTTCATTATGTTGATTAGCTGATACTCTGTCATGTCTACCTGATTTGGCTATTTATTGTTTGGCTAATTATTAGTATCTCTACAGTCTTGTTGCTAGTAGGGAGAACATTGCTATTTACTGTAACCTCTTTTAGAAGATGTTATGTTTAGTTATCACATTCTATTTCACACTTGGCATCAGCAGATGACTGCATGGCATAACTCTGGCTTGATCAGACTTTGTTATTTCAAAGATTTCCTCACTGATTTCCATTGAACAAAATTCAAGCAAACTTTAAAGGGAGATGCTAGCTCATAAGATGCTTTTTCAGACGCTGTGGTCTCCAGCTGAGGAGTACAGCCCTACGGTAGGGCTGGCACACAGTCCTTCCAATGTGAACCTTTAACAGGCATGATACTTTGTTCTTGCCTGTGCACATTTGTCTCTGTAGTCTCTGAGGAGCACACGTTCAAAGAACTCACCTGCTTGAACATGTGCAGAAGCCTACAGACAGGCCACTTAGTGAGAGCTCATTACAGCTTTTCATTTAAGCTGGGTTGTCTGGAGAGAGGTAACTCCAGGGGGACTGCCACATGGTTGCATGGGCTCCTGCACTGACTTTCTGTCAACATCTTAAGGGCAAGGTGACTACGTATTTAAGGCCTGAAGGTCCTGGCCAAGATCACGATGACATTACTTGTTTCTCTGGGTTTCTGATTTTTTCTCTCCTCTGGAATGTAAGTTCCTGGAGGTCAGTGAGTCCATCTTTAATTTTCCCTAGACCACTTTTGAGCTGGGATGGTTAGGAAATGCTAATGAAATTTTCTGGGTAAGCCCGTTTAGGGGTTCTTTAGCAGTGGTGATTTTGTACCTTCAGGGACACTTGGCAATGTCTGGGACATTTTGGGTTGTCATAACTGGAGGGTGCTACTGGCATCTGATGGGTACTGGCTAAGGATGCTGCTAAACATCCTACAGTGCACAAGGCAGCCCCCATAACAAGGATTGTCCAGCTCCAAATGTCAATAGTGCTGAGGTTGAGAAACCCTGGCCTAGTGTAATTTAGTTGCTATCTAGATTGGATTATCTTTAGACACATTTAGTCAGTCTAACTGGGCAGAATAGTTCTGCTTTCTCAGACAGATACACTGGGTAGACTGAAGCAAAGAGAAGCTTCTTTGAAAGAAACTCATAAAAAAACCACATGCACCTAGAACGGGAGCTTGAATTAGCTGGGAGTGCTCAGAAACCCCAGGCTTCCTATTTATTCAGGAGCTATAAGGTGGGAAATGAAATGTGAAGTGCTTGCCAGGTGCCTGGTACAAGGTAGGCACTCAGTGTGTTCCTTCATTGCTTGCTCTGCTAATGCAGTTTTGTGGTGGGTGGGTAGCTTAACCACTATTTACAGAATTGGGTTTAAGCAAGGCCTTGCAAAAACCTTGAAGTTTTAGAAATTGATAAAACCCAGTGACACCTGTCTCCATGGTTATCCTTGTGGTCTCTCCAGGATTTTACTAGAAACTCTAAATTTTATCTGTTAGACTGCCTGTGATTTTTAACAATAATTGTTAAACAGATGAACATTTATTGTTCATCCATATCTGTGCCAGTCACTGAAGTCAGTCATTGTCCCTGACCTTTTATGGAGCTTTCTGTCTACCTGGGAAGATAGACACTGGACATGCAATTATATACAGGTATTCAGTTCAGTGGTTGTAAATGTTACTGAGGAGACTTGGGAGATGTGAGAGAGTATTAGAACAGGGGATCCATCCTAGTCTGGAAGTTCAAGGGAAACTTACTTGAAGAAATATTTAGGCTTAGGTCAGTTGGGGTGGTGGGAAATGTAGGAGACAGCAAATACCATGCGAAACAGCCTTGGGAAAGGAGCCTTCCAGTAAAAGAAAGAAGGGTACAGTGTTGTGACATAGTGAGTGGCTGGGTGTTATGGATTGGTAGGGAGTGTCGTGAGGTGAGGCTGTGGACACAGAATGGACAAATCCTGTAGGGCCTTGTAAGCCATATTAAGTATTTTGGATATTAAGACTTCTCTGAAGCAGGGTATTGACATGATTAGGTTTGCATTTGAAATTTGCATTTTTAAAGAGATACGCTTGACCACTTAAGTTTTCTAACCATTTTTAGTTTCTGGAAGATCAAAATGCCACCTACATTTAGATGTGTATTTTTTTTTTTTAAATAACAGCTTTATCCAGATATAATTCATGACCATAAAATTCATGTTTTTAAATTGTACAATTCAGTGCTTATTAGTATAGTCACAAAGGTGTACAACCATCCTCACTTTCTAATTTTAGAACACTTTCATCACTCGATAAAGAAACCCCATATTCATTAGCAGACACTCCCCATTGCCTCCTCTCCCCAAATCCTTGGTAACCATGATCTACTTTCTACTTTCTGTCTCTGGACCTGCCTATTCTGGACAATTCATGTAAATGAAGTCATGTAATTTGTGGCCTTTTGTGACTGGCTTATTTCACTTAGCATAATATTCATAGTTCATGTTGTCTCATGAATCAGTACCTCATTCCTTTTTATGGCTGAAATAATATTCTGTTGTATGGATCAATCACATGTTGTTTATCCATTCATCAGTTGATGGACATTGGGGTTGTTTCCACTTTTTGGTAGTTATGAATAATGCTGCTATGGAGTTGACATTAGTATCATACAAATGGTCAGGAGGAACATGGAATTCAACCTTCATCTTTAAAGAGAAGGGCATTACTCCTTTTTATTCTGTAGCACATTCTTTTCAGTAAGCATTTTCTTTTCTGAAAGATTTGTATGGCAGTAAAGGTTCAACCACATGTGTTAATGTGTTAATGTTGATGAATTGAGAGAAATGCTGTTAAAAACTTGAGTTTTGGGGAGCACTTGAAAGCATTATTTGCAGTTAATGGTGCCAATTCTTGCTTAGTTCTGGAAGTCAGAGTCTGTTATTGTTCTGGTTGTCCATTTACAAGTGGATGCCCAAGAATTCTTAGCTCCTCTGTTCCACTTGAATGACTTCTTGTCCACGTTAATAGAATGTACCTGATTGCCTATTACCAAGGTGATGGCTTTCATCTTGATTAGTCATTTCAGAAAATTAAGAGAAAATAAAAGTTAGAATGGCCTCAGTATTACAGAGTTCAGAATGTGAACCAGGAGGTCAGGCATATAATAAAAAATGGTTTATGACCTGCAGTGGGGCATAACTTCAGGCACAATGAGTGTTAAGAATTAGTTAATGATTCAGCATGAACGCTTTCAGACCAAGGAAAAAAGTGTAGGCAGTGAATATGAGTGAATGTAAGAGCTTCAAAGCTTATGTAGAGTGGGAAAAATAAAAATAGTATCAAGCTGAAGCTTGATAAAGCTTGTTTTGGTAAAAGTGTTTAATGGTAAATTAACACAAATCAGTCAACAATTGGAAAGATTTGGTTTATCAAGTCAGGGCACAGAGTTTGTAAAAAGATTAGTTAATCTTTGAAATCTTGATGTGCCTGTCTGCTTCTTTGTATTGGTTTATAACTGGTTCCTTTCAATGTTAGTGTCGGGAATATTACCCAACATTTCATTCAATATTTAGCAAACTTAGGATGACTGTAAAATTGGTCCATTGGTTGTGCAAGCAGTTACAGGACACCTACTGCTGACGAATGGTCGTATTTGTCAGGGGGAAGCAGGTTACTTTTGGCTACTCATTGGGAGAAATTGATTGTTTCTTAGTGGATAACAGATTAATAGTAACTGGTCTACTCTGCAGTTTCATCATGGTACTTAATGGACTTGCTTTTATTTATCAGGCCATGTCAGAGGACTTTATCTCATTGCTATTATTATTACAGTAGTCTCATGTGTCTGGTCCTATATTGAGGATTGGCCTGCATTAACTTGCTTAATCCTCTAAATAACCTACCAGGATAGATAGAAACCAGTGACATCTCTAGTCTACAGATGAATTTACAGAGGCTCAGAGATTAAGTGACTTGTGTGAGCTCATACACAGGAATGGCTGAGCCAGGACTTGATGATGAGCTCACTCTAAAGCTGCTGCGCCCTACAGGCTGCTTACCCCCTTCTCTGGTATACTAATGCTAAATGAAAATGGGACACATTTATTACGGAAGATTACATTTCATCCACAGTTGAGGTTCTTGAATTTTGTTCTAAAAGGGTGTTTTGGTTAGAGCCTCTTCCTAGAAATCTGGTTCTTAGAATGTTATTACTTTGTCTTCTCATTGGTTGCATGTGACCTTAAGTAACTTCTTAATCTTTCTCAAGCGTACTTGGCTCCTGTCTATTAGAATGTTATATGACCTGGTAAAGCACACCTCAGTGTTCCTAAAGGTCCCTATTTAGCCCACAAGAAGAAGCGCCGCTTAATCTGGTCACTGGAATATTAAATTCTGCTGCTTACTCTGCTTACTTGATTTGTCTGGTGGTTTCGAGTTAAATCATTGCATGGGGTGACTGTTTTCTTATCTAAAAACAAGGTTAATGTTGGTAGTTATTGCCTTATGTTGAATCTCAGTGAAGGAGAGGCCAACAGTTTTCCTAATCTTGGGGTACAGGGGGATATAGTGACAGAGTTTTGGGCCAGGAGTCAGAGCACTTGGACGGTGGCCTGGCTCTGTCACTTACTGAGCTGCATGACTCGGAAGGCTCTTCACCCTTCCCCCACTCTCTACATACCCTGAAGGTAATGAGAATTAAACCAGAAATTATGTATGAGGAAATACTTTACACCTTATAGGTCATATAAGAGATGATGATTATTCTTAAAGTGCCATGAGATTATAACATTTGGAAATCTTAGATTTAATTTAGTCTTCTATTTTTTGTTTTTGGACTTCTTAGATGACGCTTCAGTTGTATGTTTTCATTTTTTTTCTTCTTTCTTTTTAGTGGTATGCGTGCAACAGAGAGAAATTATGTGAATCACTGCAGGCTGTCTTTGTTCAGAGTTACCTTGATCAAGGAACACAGATCTTCTTAAACAACAGCATTGAGAAATCGGGCTGGCTATTTATCCAATTATATCACTCTTTTGTGTCATCTGTTTTTAGCCTGTTTATGTCTAGAACATCTATCAATGGGTAAGTGAATCTTGGATACTTTTTTCTTTATCCTTAGGTCTAAAAAAAGAAAAGGAAAACGAAAAGTTACCTTGTTGAGATGTTGACCACCTCTACAGCTACAACACTTCTAGTCAGAATCCTTGGCCCAGTGTCTCAGCCTCTGCAATTATGCTTTTAAAATTCACTGTAACTTGATCTTGATAAACAGCCTCATTGGTCTGTATTTCTGTGATGGGAATCACAGTGCTTCCCACTTTGATGTGCACAGGAATCACCTGGGTATCTGGTTAAAATGCAGATTCTGAGTCAGTAGGTCTGGGGTGGGACCAGAGATTTTGCATTTTTAACATGTTCCAGGTGATGCCTATGCTGATCTATTAGAGAGGAGCAAGATGGTTGGAACCAGGCCCTTAACATAGGCTGAAAAGTAAGATCTTTGCCTTAAGCACACTTCCCAGGAGCAAGTTTTTTTGGGAAGGATCTAATTCAGCCCAGCAGTGGATGGTGGCTTGTTCGAGTGAAGGGTTCTCCATCTGTTCTTTCTTTTCTTAAATATTTATTTATTTATTTGGTTGTGCTGGGTCTTAGTTGCGGCAGGCGGGCTCCTTAGTTGTGGCACGTGGGCTTCTTAGTTGTAGCATGTGGGCTCTTAGTTGCGGCATGCATGTGGGATCTAGTTCCCTGACCAGGGATCGAACCCAGGCCCCCTGCATTGGGAGTGTGGAGTCTTAACCATTGTGCCACCAGGGAAGTCCCTCCATCTATTCTTACATAATGTTTAGACTCACCAGAATTTTGTAAACATTGTGGAATTCTCTATCCCTAGAGTGGTTCTCTCATATAAGTCTATGGAAAAAGCTTTAGGAATATTTTTATCCTTTCTTGGCCAAATTTTCAGACACCGCAAAGCCTAAGAATCCAGAACTCCAAAGAGAAAAGCAGCAGGGCTCAGTGCTTGAAAAGCCTGTTGGACCACTTGAAGCCACTGGCCGGGCCCACTTTTTCTTCCCTTGAGGTTTGGAGCTAGCTTCTACTGAATGTCTGGATCCCCAGTCTATCATCTGGTCCTTAAATATGTTTTCAGGAACCATGAGCCGTTTCTCAAGATTTCTTCATTGTTTATATGAAATTGCCTTAAATTTGCTTTAGGAAACAGTTGTTATTTTTGTATTGGTAGTTGAGTTTAAACAACTTGGTCTGACATTTTGTTTCTAAAATTCACGGCATTGAATTTCTGTTCTGTACCATTTATTTTTTCGTTGGGAAAGCAGACAAGTCACCGCAGCAGTGATTTTTAACCTTTTTGGGGCCCTGTACCTCTTTGAAAGTGATATAAAGTAGAAATTCTCTCTTCAAATAGTCCTTACATTCAGCATTTTGCATATAATTTAGGGAGATTTCAAACTCTAAACCGCTTTCAAACTCTAAACCTCTACCCTGTTCACCCCTGGTTAAAATTCTCTGCTCTGGGATTTCACAATTTGGTCAAAGGGGCAATAAGATAAATAAATCCGTTTTGGCTTATCTTATCCACAGCTCTTCTGCTTTTCTTTTTTAAATAACCCTCATCCCCACCCCTTCATCCCCCCTTGGCACCCCCCTCCCCCAACAAAACAAAAACATCTTTTCCCTGTGTCCTATTCTCAGCTGGAAGCTTAACTTTGAGCCCATTGGGAATTTCTATGGCAATGGAAGCTTATTACCACAAGTGGCTGTCTCTTATAGAAATAATTACTATGGTAACCTTTTTTTAAAGAATATTTATTTATTTTATTTATTTTGTGGTTTTTTTTGGCTGCGTTGGGTCTTAGTTGCGGCATGCGGGATCTTTGTTGCGGAATGCGAGATCTTTTCCATGCGGTGCGTGGGCTCTTTGTTGAGGCTTGCGGGCTTCTCTCTAGTTGTGGCGTGCGGGGTTTCTCTCTCTGGTCGTGGCACGTGGGCTCCAGAGGCCGTGGGCACTGTAGTTTGTGGCACCCAGGCTCTCGCATTAAGGTGTGCGAGCTCAGTAGTTGTGGCTCGTGGGCTTAGTTGCCCCGTGGCATGTGGGATCTTAGTTCCCCGACCAGGGATCAAGCCGTGTCCTCTGCATTGGAAGGCAGATTCTTTACCACTGGACCACCGGGGAAGTCCCTATGGTAACCTTCTTGAATTAAAAAGATAAGGTACTTATCGACGTCCTTTACTGGGAAGGGGAAGACCAAGTAAGGAGAGACTTGATAGCTGTTTTCAGAGTTTATTTTATAAGGAAGATATTTGTAAGGAGGTTTATCTCCTCTGTAGACTGTAAATCTAGAGAGAACTTAGAGAACGTAGGATGGTTTTTTACACACACACACACACACACACACACACACACCAAAAAAATACATCGACATCACTAACTTTGGGAGTTAAAGACAAATTAGAGAGCCATACCTCTCCGTGGTATGTGTTTGCTAGAAACACATACACTGAGCAAAAGTCAGTGTCTTGGTATTTTAAGTGGGATAATTCTTCATTGTGTGGGACTGTCCCACACATTGCAGGAAGTCTGAGTTTTCTGACCTTGCCCTCTAAGTGACGGTAGCACCCTCAAGTAATTGTGACCACCCAAAACTCTTCCCACCTACTCCCAGGGCTCCCTAGAGGCCAAAATTCATCTGGGCTCGATGAATTTAGATTTTTTTTTTCTTTTGGCAGTTTAAATCTTTTTCTGTAGCCTCTGTTGCTCATGATCTTTGGAAATAAGACAGTGCTTCTCTCTCTGGTGCCTTTCAACCTGAGCTCTGACCTCAGATGACCTCTAGCTCTAGAATTTTATGATTATCATGTCAAGGGTCCTTAGACTCCAAAGAGATGGCTAGGGAAGCATGTTATTTTAAAATTGGGAAAGTTTAAGCCATGTAAACTATTTTGCAACTTACTTTTGGTTCTATGGCAAGTTAGCACCAGCATTTGAAACATGTACCCCCAAGCCTGTGACCTCTCTTAGCTCTTGTTCTGACTCTGGCTCCCATGTGAAATTTTGTATAGCTATTTCAGGAAGTTCAGCTCCTTTTCTCAGATTTCTTTTTCAGCCTGTTTTCCCACTAGAAGATAGGAACAATTGAGGATTAAAAACAACTTGTCTTTTAGGAGATGTTTTCTCTGGGAGCTAGTTGTATTGGGTGAAAGTCTCTGAGGGTCCCCCCCACCCCATTTTTTAGCATTTCTGTAGGGCAGAAGATTTACTGCAAATATATTGTTAGATTTGGTTGACCTCTTCTGAGGGAAAGGGGAGGAGGAGTTTGTTATATGAGCTCCATATTTTAATTTTTTCCTGAAACTGGTCTTACCAGGAACACCCAGTTGCACACGTCCTTCCAGTCACTGTGTAACAAACATATTGCACCTTAGGATTATTTCCAGAAAGCAGCAGTATGGTAGAGAGTTCCCTGCCATTTCCTAGACCAGTGGTTTTCAGGCTTTTCCAGGGTCTGAAGAGGAAGCGCCTCAGGAGCTGCTTCAGGCTGCAGAGAAAGGCCTAGAAGTGGGCTGGCAGCAGCGCTGAGGCTCTCAACCTCATTTCAGCAGCAGTTCTCCTGTTACATTTTACATTGTCCATGAGTAACGTCTGCTTCATTTAAAGAAAGGGTTCTGCTGCTTAAAGGAAGTTTGAGAATCCCTGCCCTAGACAGACTGGGATTTGAGAGCTAGAAAGCAAGTTCTAAATAGGGAGTGCATTTTATTTCCCAAGATGATGTTTCCTCAAGACTTGGTTTGATCTGTAGCTGCTTTTAGGAGAAGCTCTCTTTGATCTCCGTTTTAACTCTTCTTTTTTCAAAGGCATTACTATGTTTTAGATGTTTTTTAGGATTTTTAGAAATAATCGGACCCAGCCAATTGTATAACATACAAACTGACACAAGTATGAATCTGCTTTTTAAATGCAGATTAACTGATATCACAAGGACCACTCTTCCTCTTTTCTCTAGTGTCTCTTAAAAATCTAATACCTAGAACTATTTTTTATACTCATTGTTCAGTTTCATATTCTAAATGGCTTTTTTCCCCTTTTTCTGCTTAGTGTTACTGGCTAGTGTTGTGGTCTGATCCTGTTGGCCTGTCATTTTTTTAAACCGATATACATGTTTTCTATTACTCCTTCCATCTTTCCTTCCTATTTTGACTTAAATTCTTCACATTCATCTTTAATTTCTTATATATTTCTTCTTCCCTTCCCACCTTTTATTTCTCTCCTTTCCCCACTCCTTTTGGTGTATTGTTTGCAGCCTCAAAGGCAGACGATGATATCTAGAGGTGTTTTCTTATTTTATTAACTTTGCTTTTTAATCATAAATCATGTAAAAGATATATATTTTAATCGTATAATCTTATAAAATAAACATTTTGTAAGTTCAGAAGGCTGTTGGTGTTGAGTCACTACTTTGTGTGGATGTTGGGTGGAAGTGCTTATTTTGTATAGAGTCATCCATTTTTGTCCTTTTTTCTTTTCCAGGTTGCTAGGAAGAGGCTCAATGTTTGTCTTTTCACCAGATCAGTTTCAGAGACTGCTTAAAATTAATCCAGACTGGAAAACGCATAGACTTCTTGATTTAGGTGCTGGAGATGGAGAAGTCACAAAAATAATGAGCCCTCATTTTGAAGAAATTTATGCCACTGAGCTGTCTGAAACTATGATATGGCAGCTTCAGAAGAAGAAATACAGGTATAATTTTTAGACATGGTTTAGAGTATATTTCTTGGTTTTAGATGTATTTCTTCTTGAGATTATATTATTTAAAGAATATAAATCAGAAACAATTTCCATCATGAGGAATTAAAAAAAAATCTTTCCATATTACAGTTGACTCTTGAACAATGCAGGGGTTAATTCACGTATAATTATAGTCAGCCCTCTGTATCTGCAGTTCCTGCACATCTGCGGATTTAACCAACCATGGACTGTGTAATATTGTAGTATTTACCTTTGAAAAATATGGGCAGTGTATAAGTGGACCCAGGCAGTTCAAACCTGCATTGTTCAAGGGTCAACTGTACAAGTAAGTGGAAATTGAGAGAGAAATCATCTCTCCTTGGCAGTATTCTTCTGAACTAGAGGTTTTGGCACTGTAGGAAGGAAAAGGGTCGGTGAGAGACAGCTTGGAGAAGAGAGATCAGATGTAGGGACTTGTTCCCTAATTTGAATCTGGCATTCTCAAATCTTGTTTTTTTGTTTGTTTATTTTTTTTAATTAAAAAAAACTTTTTAAAAATTGTGGTAAAAATATGTAACATAAAATTTACCACTTTAACCATTTTTAAGTGTACAGTTCAGTAGTATTAAGTATATTTGCATTGTGGTGTAACCATCATCACCATTCATCTCCAGAACCTTTTTATCTTTCCCAACTAAAACTTTGTACCCATTAAACACTGATTCCCTAGTCCTCTGTCCCCCTGGCTCCTGGCAGCCACCATTCCACTTGCTGTCTTTGTGAATTTGACTATTCTAGGAACCTCGAATAAGAGGAATTGTACAATATTTGTCCTTCTGTGATGGGCTTGTTTCATTTAGCATAATGTCTTTAAGGTTCATCCACGTGGTAGCATATGTCAAAATCTCCTTTCTTTTTAAGGCTGGATAATACTCCATTGTATGTATATGCCACATTTTGTTTATCCATTCATTTGTCGATGGACACTTGGGTTGCTTCTGCCTTTTAGCTATTGTGAATAATGCTGCTGTGAACATGGGTGTACAGATATCTGTTTGAGTCACTGCTTTCCCTTCTTTTGGGTATATACCCGTAAGTGGAATTGCTGGATCAAATGGTAAGTCTGTGTTTAATTTTTTGATGCATTGCCCTACCTTTCCCACAGCAGCTGCACCATTTTACATCCCACTTGCAATGCACAAGTGTTCCAGTTTCTCTACATCTTCACCAATACTTGTTGTTTTCTGTTTTTCTGATAATATCTATCCAAATGGATGTGAAGTGTCAAATCTTGGTTTTTAGACCATCTGCTGCTTGAGAGACTTAGGAAGAAGGTTATTCTTAATTCAGTATGGATTCTGTTGAATGGGAGAAGACGGTGCTGAGTATGGAATGGGGGAGGTGGAGGTAGAGCCTGCCTCCTCCTCTGATATTTTTGAAGCTGGGCTTAGGCTTAGAAAGAAAGGAGAAAATTATGTACTCCCTCACTTTCCTACCCACCTAAGTTCCTAAGTAGGAGACTATCTTAGGAACAGACTAACCCTAGAGACAGAGCATTAGCATAGCTCTTGGAGCAGGATTAGATTTAAATTTTGGCAAAACATGGACGTTTTTTAGCCTGGGGAAGAGAAGACCAAGTAGGAAGGAGGGGAAGGGAAGATTACTGTAAATGGGTATTTAAAGGGATTTATATGGAAGGAGGCCCACCTACCCTGGGCCATGGCCTTGCTTGTTTGCCTGACATTCAAACCCTTCTGAGACTAAGTGCCCAAAAGGAATTTTCAGTGAGACTTCAGATGTTTGAATTAGTGATTCAATATATGTAGACTTTACATGTTATGTTACCTGATAAACTTGTACATCATATAAAAAATACTTAGTTATTGGGAATTCCCTGGCAGTCCAGTGCTTAGGACTCGGCACTTTCACTGCCGTGGCCCAGGTTCAGTCCCTGGTCGGGGAACTAAGATTCCGTAAGCTGCGTGGAGCGGCCAAAACAAAACAAAACAACTTATTTTTTTTCCCTAATAAATAGTTCATATGCCGAAATCTGTTTGCAGTTTGACCTAGATAGGGAATTTATACTGGTTGACACTCCCTTCATAATATTATTAGTATGAAATAGAAACGTATTCACAAAAGTGGCAACTTTTGGTACAGTTTGACATTTTAATGGGCAAGTAGTATCTTACTAAGTTTAGGGTTCACCTAATCCATGATGGCAGGGCAGACTTTTAGCTTCCATGGTTTTTTTTTGGCTTCTTTTTGGGAGGTAGCTGTTTTTTGTTTCTCTTCAATATCTGGGCTCATGAAAAACTGGCTTTTTAATAAAGGTTCTGGATGTCGTTTTTGAAATAATCGCATAAAACAGAAAATGGCCAGGTGTTCCCTCTGTTTTGCAAGATATTATTGTTTATGCCAGAAAATCTGATTGTAAAATTTAAGGATGTGGCTTTGATTTTTAAAACAAAACAATAACATTTCTCTACATTTCTGGTATTTTGTTTTTTATTTAGGATTTATCAAAATACTGATTGCTTTGTTACTTCTCTAAGGAAAATGTATTTTAAATCCCCCAGAAGGTAAACTATTACTTAACTCACTTTCTTGAAAATAATAACCCCCTGAACGGACGCCTTTCTTCTAGGGTTAGAAATGCTGTTTTGGAAGAGCCATAGACATTTAGGAAGGGATTATACAATTACTTTTTGATTGTGTGTACTAATGAACAATTCCACAATTCAAATGACAATAAATAAAAACTGTTGTTTGGCAGGAAGAAAATTTTGGCAGCATGGTTACCTTCCTCAGTCTGCTTTACAAAAGTTAACGTGAAAATCTGTTGACATGATCTGAATGGTGGTTTGTAGATAGTGGAGGAAACAAGTGTGTGGCAAGATGCGGACTGGCAACGTGGACGGGTTTGGAATTAAGTCCGCATGGGCAGTTCACGTGTGGGTAGTTCAGGAGGAGTTGCGTATACATTTTTGACACTAGAGAACAAAGATCTTTAATGTAAATTAGAAAGATGCTTGACTTTAATCCATTATCTATAGGTTATCTTGATCTATAGGGATCTTTCTTGAAAGGAAAAGAAAATATTGTGGTTAATTCTATTTCTCGTGTTCATATCCTCTTTTCTTCTTTAACAAAAAGATACTGGAGACTGAAGGGATGGCCATTCACTCTCAACCCACCACCCTGGAAGCATTTGTTCAAGGACTGATTGTTAGGTTCTTTCTCACCTTATATGGAGAGAGCAGGTTCATTGACCTGAATAACATACTAGGAGAGTTTCCAAGTTGTAATTTCTATTCTGCTAGAGATTTACAGTGTGACCTTGGACAAGTCACTTCTTTCATTTTTCTCATAAGAAGAGGAAGATTCTAACAACTTGTTAGGATTCCTGGGCTAATATGCAGTTTGAGTGGGGCTGATAAATTTGTCTTCATCAGTGGAACTGAGTTTACAAGTAGAAATCACAAAACAGAAGTAAAGATGAAGTTGGACCTCTATAGGTATAGTTTTAACTGTCCTGGTATTAAGGCTATAATTTTCTGTTATGAGGATGTGTTTCTGTCTTTCAAAATTACCAACATGGAAACTACCTATCCTCAAATAATTCTGAGATGGGTTTAGTTAGATTATTCTAGATATTTTTAAAAATAAATTGATTTATTATTTATTTTTGGCTGCATTGGGTCTTCGCTGATGCGCGCGGCTCCTCTCCACTTGTGGTGAGCAGGGGCCCCTCCCCATTGTGGTGCGCTGGCCTCTCATTGCGGTGGTTTCTCCCGCTGCGGGGCACGGGCTCTAGGTGCTCGGGCTTCAGTAGTTGTGCCTCGCCGGCTCCAGAGCGCAGGCCCAGCAGCCGTGACGCACAGGCCCAGCTGCTCTGCGGCATGTGGGATCTTCCCGAACCAGGGCTCGAACCCATGTCCCCTGCATTGGCAGGCGGATTCTTAACCACTGTACCACAAGGGAAGCCCAAATTATTTTAGATTAAAACATGCTGATGATGTTGGGTTCTGCTTCGTTTTAGATCAGGCCTAAATTTTTTTTGTTTTGTTTTTTTAAATCAAATATATAATTTGTCTTTTACAAGTTTATGAATTTAAATTGGCTGTTTGGCTAAGGTATTAATATATAAATAGTCTTTCTTTTTAATTGTTCATTTCCGCTTTTAAAATGGGAATTGATGACATTTTTATCCTGAAAGTAGAGTCTTCTCTCTAGTTTAAATGAGCTAAATACAGCTCCTAAAATCATCATTGCAGTCACAATTTCGGTACAACAAAGTGATTTTGGAGCTCTAATGCTCTAATTTCAAGCAACAAAGAAATCTGACTAGCTCCTTGAAGTTTGTCAGTTTTGTTTTGGAGGAGGCTTTAGTTTTTAAAAACATCTAGATTGAGGGCTTCCCTGGTGGCGCAGTGGTTGAGAGTCCGCCTGCCGATGCAGGGGACACGGGTTCGTGCCCCGGTCCGGGAAGATCCCACATGCCGCGGAGCAGCTGGGCCCGTGAGCCATGGCCGCTGAGCCTGAGCGTCCGGAGCCTGTGCTCCGCAACGGGAGAGGCCACAACAGTGAGAGGCCCGCGTACCGCAAAAAAATAAAATAAAATAAAAAATAAAAATAAAAAAATCTAGATTGAGAAGAAGATGCACCTGAGCAGTTAGTGTTTCTTTTTATTCTGCTATACAAAAATGCTCCAAAATGTCATTATACTATGAGTTTTCCTCAACAGTCCTCATTATGCTTCTAGAATTTTCTAAGATATCTCTATCTGCTGAGCGTGATCAAAGACTTGTTTACCAAAGGTCCTTTTTCCTGTTTCCTTTTCCTCCTGTCTCTATCATAATATGCCTCACCTACCACATTCTGATTGGTATAACCAAGCAGGAGTGAGTAATTTATAGAATTGCCTTAATGGTGTGGCCAACAAAGCCTCTTGATAGAAGGTCTCCTCCTCCCTGTGAGTAAAACACTGTAAAGGACTAGAAATGTTCTTCGGGCGAGAGAAGACAGGGAGGAGAGAGAGGGAGGGAGAGACTGATTGTGTGTTCATGAGATACTGAGGGCTGAGAGTGGTGTGTTAACTATGTTCTTCACTTACTGTTTTAATAGGATGTCCTGTGCTTTATCTTTTTCTATATAGTTATTTAGATATGAAGATTCTAGAGTATGAAATAGTATCTCTCTCCTGGGAATAGAGATGTGCTCAAAAGACGTAAATGGAAATTATCTTATACCACTCCTAGCCATTCTTAAAAATAGGAGGGACCCTAGGAATAGAAAACATGAATATATGATGTATTCTATGATTACATTCCAGTGAATGTAAAAGTAGGATTCTTTGTTCATTAACTGATGTTCAAGAATTGGATGCCCCAGTTTCATAACCATTTTTATCATCTTATATCTTCATAGTTATTAAACATACTAGTCCTTATAAAGGAAATTTTGCATGTTTTGAGATTTGGAAATAGGAGAATTGCTAAATTTAAAGAAATATGGTTGTTTACTTTTGTATGGCCATTTTATTATTGCAAATATAAATTATAACTGAAGATTTTTGAACTTATTTTGATTTAGAAGACAAAATTAAAGTCTTTACTGGAATCTAAGTATTTTTAAAGATGTCTTTAAGAGGGTTTGTATCTTTCTGATTTTTCCAGAGTACTTGGTATAAATGAATGGCAGAATACAGGGTTCCAGTATGATGTCATCAGCTGCTTGAATTTGCTGGACCGCTGTGATCAGCCCCTGACTTTGTTAAAAGATATCAGAAGTGTCTTGGAGCCAACTAGAGGCAGGGGCATCCTTGCTCTGGTCTTACCTTTTCATCCCTATGTGGAAAACGGTAAGTGTGGTCACCCACTTACCAGCCTGTTATCCAGAACTGGTGCTTATTGGTATTTGTGATTCTGTGCTGTGCACAATTAAACATGGACTGGTATTTCTCAGAATAGCCTGGAATTTAACAGAGTACAGTTAACCCATGTAAAATACCACCTTGGTTAATGTTCGTCTTAATGTGGATTTTATAGAACTCTAGTACTCCCTTTGCAGTGGTAAGAATTAATACTCAGATGGATCTGCCTGCTCAAGATTGAAAGCCTAAAATGCTTTTAAATGGAGCCTTAACCACTAATTTATTAGCTTATGAGCTGAGTCAAGCAATAAATGATGCCTTTTAATCTACCTGAATATACCTGCCAAATGTTACAGCTGTTTCATATTTTACATCTCTTGTCCCAGACTCTTATTATAATGATAAATGCTGTTGTTATCCATTTTTTCCTTTTGAAGACCATTTGTGTCCCAGCATGTATCATTTCTTTGACGTTTGGTTTTTTGATTGCATGGTCTTGCTCTTCAGCAACACTGAATGAAGAATATCTCAGAAGAAATGGTTTGATTTCATATTGCTTCACATTTACTTTTGGCCAGAGACATTCATTCATACTTGGTTTTCGCTTATGTGGTTTGCATTTTAGATCATGTCGAAAGTTATGACTTTAAACCTCTTTTGAATTTTCATGTTATTGTACAGTAATGTAAAAATTATTTATTATATAAGTAATACATGTTAATATTTTAAAGTCTTTTTCTCTTTCACTGCCTTGTTCAGCTTTGGGTTCAAAAACTGTAAGAGCTTGTAGACATTTTTAAGAAATCCATTAGTATTTCGTAAGCATCGTAATTATCAAATACCTGTGAAAATCTGTGTCTTAAGGAATAACACTGAAGTTTGCTTATAACTGTGGATTTGTGTTGCCATTCACTTGCTCCTTCTTTTCTTCTTATTTTTTCTCCCTCAGGTCTTAGTCCCTTCTGATATCATGCTTGTCTTAACATTTGCCAAATGGTTTTAGGTTTGTGTTGATGGTGGGGAAAATGGAGAATTCTTCAGACATAGGAGGGTGGGAAGGAGAATAGATAGAATAGATGTCTCCTCCCCCATCTAACTTCTCCATTCCTGTGTTGAATCCTTTTGTCATGGTAAAGAAAAAGACTGCTTTAATATGTGAGTGCCCATATAGCGCATATACGTGTTGTATAGGGGAAAACCTGGTAAATGTTGTCCTTGATAATTTAGCAGCCTAACCTTGTTTCAGTGCTGTTCCCTGTGTAACTAAACCTCGGCTCCATCTCACTGCATTGCAGTCACTAGTCATCAGGTTGTAAGGTCCAGGCTTCCTGTGTCCTGTTGCGCAACCACACGATGGAACTTTAATGCTACTTCCTGACATAGCAGGAGGTGGAAGAGCAAGGGAAAAACATCAATCTAACCATGAATTGTATTTCCTTGTTTTTTTTTTTTTTTTTTTTTTTTTTTTTTGGTTTGGGGGCCCCTCCCTGTTGTGGCCTCTCCCATTGGCGGAGCACAGGCTCCGGACGCGCAGGCTCAGCGGCCATGGCTCACGGGCCCAACCGCTCCGCGGCATGTGGGATCTTCCCGGACCGGGGTACGAACCCGTGTCCCCTGCATCGGCAGGCGGACTCTCAACCACTGCGCCACCAGGGAAGCCCTCCTTGTGTTTCTGACACTAAACATTGAAAAGAAGTTAAACTGGACAAGAGGGCAGTCTCTAGTAAGGCCTGAAAACAAGCTCCTTGATTGTGGTTGCACAGTTGCCTGTTGAATCCAAGGAGTCTGGTGTGTGATACACAGCAAAGTGAGCAGTGGAGCCTTGTTGCTGTGGGTGACCTTTAGTGACCTATAAGTTTTGTAGACCGCTTGTGGCACTCTATTATTGCTTCCTTTCTCTAAGTCACTAATTAGATCCTGATGATTTCCATGTGACACTGTGTGAAGACCCAGGAGGTGCAAAGTGATCTTGCTGTGAGTTCATGTATATGGGGCTGGTTTAAGGATATGTGAGTGTACTTTTCACACTTGGCTCAATTTATTTTTTAACAAAAGCAGTTGTAGATGAAATGATTACTTGTGTACTTTTTTTGATTTGTCTTGAAGTTGAACCGCAGCAATTTTGTTGCTTAGGTTAATTTAGGGAAAAAAATGCAAAATGTATCTTTGTAATTTCAGTTTGTTTGGTTTACTGACCCAATTCTGGTTGGGGGTCATTAAACCTAGTGAGAACTGTTTTAAGCATCATAAAGGGGCAAAGTATGTAATCAAGAAAAGGAGACTTATTTTGCAAAAATGAAAATTTAGTTATGTTTAATTTTTCAAAATTGTAATTTTTATGAAAAGGTAATTCATGGTAAAAAAGAGTTCAAGCAGCTTGCAAGAGAGTATGAAATGAGGTTTCTTATCCCCTCTTGTTCAGGTTTCTTGAATAGTTTTCTAAAGATAGTCTATGCAAATATGTGTGAACATGAAAAAATTGATTCTATAATTAAAGCTCATTATAAATAGTTTCATTGCCCTTTTCCTCTTAAGTATGTCTAGGAAATTATTCCTTACTAGTGCGTAAGTATCTACATCCTTGTCTATGTGTAAGCAGTGGTGTGCTGGAGCTGGTTTTACTGGCTCAGGAGAGCTGATTGTTATCTTGGCAGGAATTTAGTGAAGGCGTTGTTAAACTCCATTATTGAAATTGACCTCAATGGGAGTACTTACACCATGGAAATTGGCAAACTCTACAAATAGTCTCTCCCTTCTCCTACCTGATTGGTAAACCTTTACCAGCACACTGCTGGGCATTTGGTAACTTTACTAGAGGAGGCCTCTGTTGAGTTATTACTTTTAGATACCAGCAGTTTGCTTTATAAATATTTACAAGTGAAATGAACATTCTTAGGCAAGTCTTTTGCACACGTCTAAGTAGGTATCAGGATGTTTTCTGCTTCAAGAAACAGAAGGAGCAACTAAAAGTAGCTTTTAAAAATTAAGAGTTTATTTTAGAAAAGTGATTTCAAGGTTGGTTAATTCAGTGATGAAAGTGTCCACTGAAGTTCAGAACTTGCTTTCATTTCTTCATCTTCAGTGTGTTGACATTCCCCTCGCAATTACAAAATGGCTGATGCAGCGCCAAGCATCATGTGTAGGCATGACAGAGTCTTGGAAAGAAAGAGGCATTTTCTCCCATACTTTTTTTTTTTTTTCTAAAGTGATGGAAACCTTTTCCAGAAATCTCCCTGGCACATCACACTTTTTCCCATCGGTAAGGATGGGGGCACATGCCCTGACCAACCAGCAACTGGCAGGCAGGTTAGGACAATTGTGATGCAGGTCTGGGGAGCGAGTCTGCCCTGAGCATATTTACACTGTGAGACTGAGCTTGCAGTGAAAGTGGAAGGGATACTCTTATGCCACAGAATATCTTTATCATTTAAAAAGTGTTTATGAGTGATGCTGGAGATAAATGAGCAAAAAACATACAAATATCCTTGTCCTCATGGAGCTTATGTTCTAATGAGGAAGACAGACCGTAAACAAATGGCATGTTGTTGGTGATAAATGTTATGGAGAAAAATAAACAATAAAAGCAAAACAGGGGCTTCTTGGAATTGGGGGTTGGGTTTGGGCGCTATAATTTTAAAGAGTGTGCTCAGGGAAGGGCCTCTCTTAGAGGGTGATGAAGGGAAAAGGCTGAAGGAAGTAAGGTTTATGGTTATCTGGATGATACATTTCTAGGAGTGGAACTGCTTGTTAAAGAGTGAGTTTTCCAAACAGCTACACTGTGATCCTAACACCATTTATTGAGTAACCATCTTTTCCCCAATGCTTTGAAATGCCACCTAAATCATAGACTAAAGTCCTATAATGTGTTTGGTTCTGTTCTCTTAAGGTTTATCCTTCTATATGTGTGCCAATACCAAAATACTTTAATTACTGTAACTTTATCATACTTGTAAGTATCATAGCACTAGTCTTCCTTAATCAGTTTCTCTTAGATTTTTCTTGGCTTATTTATTTAACAGATCAACTTTAGCACCAACTTGCCTAGTTCCCCTATATTTATCTGTTAATTTAGGGAGTATTGAGTCTTCTTAGCTAATATAGGATGTCTTTCAATTTATTCAGTTATGTTCATTAGTAACAAAATTTTCTTCATAAATGTCCTGCACAAGTTTTGTTAGATTTATTCTAATGGTGTGTGTGTGAGATATTATAAATAGGAATTTTTCTTCCTTCATGGTTAAAAAAATAATTTCCCAGCTTTATATAATTGGCAAACATTTTTTATATTTAAGGTGTTCAACATGATGATTTAGTATACAGTATACATTGTGAAATGATTGCTGCAATCAAGTTAATTAGCACATCCATTACCTCACATAGTTACCTTGTGTGTGTGTGTGTGTGTGTGTGTGTGTGTGTGTGTGTGATGAGAACACTTAAGATCTATTCTTTTAGCAAATTTAAAGTATACAGTTCAGTATTATTAACGGTAGTCACCAGGCGGTACATTAGATCCCCAGAGCTTTTTCATCTTATAACTGAAAGTTTGTATCCTCTGACCAACATCTTATTTCCCCCATCCCCCAGCTCCCTCTGGTTCTGCAAGTTTGACCTGTTTCAATTCCACATATAAGTGTGATCATATAGTATTTGTTCTTCTGTGTCTAGTTTATTTCAGTTAGCATAATGTCCTACAAGTTCATCCATGTTGTCTCAGATGGCTCTCCCATCATATTTTAGAGTGGATATTATGCATACACAGACAAGCAGTTGTTTTGTGTGTGTGTGTGTACCAGTTTTGTAACCATTTACCTTATTGGATTATTTTAGTGTGTCCAATAGTTTTCAGCATTGATTCTCTTGGGGTTTTTTAATACAGTTATAGCATCTGCAGGTGGTTTTAATACTTCCTTCTCATTTTTAGACTTTTTTTTTTTGGTGCAAGTGAATTTGTAGTTATTTCCAGAAAATGTTAAAGAAAAAAATGG